TTCAAAATATGCTCTGGCGTTAACAAGTCCAGTAACCACCGGTGAAGTGTGCAGCATCAATGACATTGAAACGATCAGTGAGCGAGTTAGAAAAACCTAGTAAATAATATTGTCATCTTGAATGAAATATGCCTAATGAGGTGTTATGGTTTTAAATGGGATATCTTGAGAGTTTCAGGTTAGGTCTGGGAAAGATTAAGTTAAGGTTTAGGCTAAGGACAGGTTAGGGTTAGATCAACCTATCGAGGGTGACATTAGGGTTGTTTCGAGTTATATTAGGGTTATTTTAGGGATATTTACACGTTAGGGTTAGGTTAAAAAACTACGGTTAATTTCAGGATAAGAAGACCTATAAGATGACATGCCAAGAATGTGGTTAAATTGCTCTGTCGGTAATCCAATCCAAAACCGAAGGGTATTTTTGATTTAAGGATAAAACCCTGGGTATTTTTGTCACACATCAGGGTAAGGTGTCGTGTTTGACAGTTTCACGGCGTTTTAATTCGTTAATTTCGCGAATATATACATTTAGTACGCAAGAATCACCTTTGTTATGCGGTTGGTGCATTCAAGGCCACCTGTCTGTTGGTTCTTACTGTAGCCTAAAGTTTGAATGTGCCCCACTAGTGACTCTAAACCATAGCAACCCAAGGCAAAATTAACTCTAGTGACTAATCAGATGATTCAGAAGTGGGCGTGCGTAATTTGAAATAAACCTCTCTGTACAAGTAATGCGGTGTTAAAAAATGATTACACAGAATAATAATCTTGCATATGTTCCAGGTAAACCTCCAAGAGTCTCACAGGAGTCCTAGTAGTCAGGTTAAACCGATTTCTATACATAAATTCGTCTAGATAATTGTGAATCATCGTGTTTTTTGACTCATTCACTGCTCTTGTCGTCTTTTTTAGGTGACTGTAGAAATTTTCTATGTAATTTTTGTGAGTCCCACAAAAACGATTAATGACATCGCCCTTATGATTCACGCACGTGACACGACGGAGTATCAAATGGCAAGGATGCTTGACCTGAAGCCTTCAGCTAAACAAGTCGACTTAAACAGTGAGGGTCAGCATCCGATGTTCAGTGATGATTGCTATGGTCAATAATTTTGGGGAATTATTTACCGCTACAATGCTATGGACTTATCTGACTGGTTGCTTAAGGTCATTAGTCCGTTAATTAGGTATTCCGTTTTGGACTGCTATAGTTTAGAGTCACCGCCAACTGTAAGGTGTTAAGAAGTAGACCTCGAGACCCAGTGAAATAACTGAAGAACAGTTCCAAGGAAACCTCCCACTTTCTCACAGAAATCCTCGTAGTCAGGTTACACGACTTCCCGTATATAAATTAGTCAAGATCATTAGGTAGCCTCGTTTTGGACTGTTATGGTTTGGAGTCACCCCGTACTACTAACTATCTTCATTGCTGTACTGGATATGGTGCCAAGTCTCCAGGAAATTGTACAACCATTGTCCTCAGATGGGTTCAACTATCTCACCAGATGTAGATTTTCTATCCTCATGTATAACTGGACATATAAGGACCTCGCAACTGCTTGTTTCCTTTGCTCAGTAAGTCGCAAACATACGCTTACACTGACTAATGCATAATCGGAGAGTAGATTGTTATTTCCGAAGAAACCGAAATCGTCCATCTACCTTCTTCACCCATAACCATATATATAACCATATGTAGCTACGTAGTCAGTTTTGATCCAGCATTACACTGGTGCTGGCAGTCGATGTGTGAAGTTAGTATCAATCTTAAACATGAGGTTGTTTGAAAGAAATTGCAAAAATAAAATCACTGTTGTCAGTTTCTTTGACACAGGACTCCACAGATACACGGCTAAATACTGTCAACTTATTCAGATTCTTTATCTGTGCATTCGAATCATCTAGTCGGTTGAAAGTATTTGGGGAATTATTTTCTGGCAGTAAACTGGACAGCTTATGATGAAAGTCATCACCAAATTCATCAGAACTATCGTCAGGGGATGCACAATATATGACTACGGAAAGCTATCGACAAACAAAAAGGTGCCTTTCATACTATTACAGACCTATTCACACAGAAATCACCCGTACTACTATCCATCGCAATCCATTTGATCAGTGAGATTTCCGATGCTGGCTAAGGTTGACGTTATGTATATATCAGCAAATACATGACAACTAGCCAAAGAATCTTGTGACATCCATGGAGTGAAAGTTATAGATTCATCATGATGGTGGTGACAAGTGAATATATATATATATATATATATATATATATATATATATATATATATATATATAGATCCTGTGTACATATCCTAGAAACTGAACATACATAAAGAGTACTAAATCCTAAATTTTTGTCTAGTGCGGTAGAGGCGTGTTGACAGCGGGTACTTTCGGGCTCTTCACATGATGTGTGTTGATTTCTTCTTCGAGTAAATCAAAAACAAAATGGACTATTATTGTAACCCTATAGTCCAGAGGATAAGTGCTTGAGCTGGATCACACATTGCATGCTCGGGAGTGAAGCTTCCATACGAAAAGCCTCATTGTTGTTCGTTAAGTGGTGATGTGCATAGGTTTCAGCATCGAATTATTCTAACCCCTGTACCCCAGAAAGCGAAGGTACCACTGTTACTCAACCGAGAGAAACACTTACTGCTATTACCCTCCTATATTTGTCAAAAGTACGACTCCTCTCACAGACCTCTAACAAAATGTAGGCATCCCGGATTATGACAGTAACCACTTTTATCATAACTAACCACTATCCTTTTGATGTTTCTACCATGGTAGGATCTGTCGGAAAATTTATTCCAACTATTATTGGTCTTTGTGTATTTCTGATACTCAACCTTCACCAATACATTAGCGTTACAACTATTGGTCCCGTTCTTAGCATTCAGCCGTAGCCCTAGGAACAAATTCTGACTTACCACCCACCCATCCAAGCAGCATTAAAAGTTTTACGCATTAAATGTGGCTAATACCTTAACAGGTTGCATTAGTAGTAGAGTACTCTTCAACTAGACACATGGTCAGGAGTTCAACTCCCCCCTCCGACCGTTATTAAGCTCAATAAAGACGGCAGGTGGTAGGGAATAGTAACCTCACCCCGTCAGGAATAAACCCCACTTTGCTACTAAAACTTCAGAGGTCAAGCTTGAAGCCATATGGACCATTCGGAACGCGAAGAAATAAAATAAATAACAATAATAGTAGTCATAACAACTTAACACATAAGGTCTGGTCAAGATGATTAAAATGCTCCTATTGTGTGTAGTTATCAAACTTTGTACAACGAAAGCTTATCCACAGGCGACAAAATCAGAGACAGAGAGAGTGAATTCCACTCATATTAGCTCACTTTGACAAACAGAAAGAAGAATAGAAGAGACAATACAGAGAATAACTACTTTTTTATGAACATAAAAATTGATAAAATAATACAATCACAATTATATGTGTATATATATAGATGCATATAAGATTTATTCAACTGTCATGTTTTACTGTCAACCAAACCAAATCTCATTTGACGTTTAGCTAGTCTTTCAGCTTCAGATAAACTGCTTCCCGTAGATGCTGCTGCAGCTGATGATGATGACGGTGCTGATACAAGACCGAATTTCTGTGCACGAATCGTTTTAGCCAATTCATCATCTATAGGAGTTTTTTTAGACACTGTGGTGGTAACATCACCAAACTTCTCTAAACGTTTAGCTTTACGCTCTAATTCTGTTAACTGTAAAAGAATAAAATAAGCAGTGAAGTGTTATTTCATAGGGATATACATATATATATGTATGTATGGACACTACAACTAAACACCGAGAAATAAATTCAGTTAACATAAACACCCTTACAGGTGAACCACATGAATTTGCCGATGAGTTCGTGTATCTAGGAAATTGTGCGAGAGTGCTGGCGGTATGACCATGCAGTGAGAGCTACAATGGCATAAACCACAAAGAAGAACAGAGTGAACTGAAGCACAGTACACACGTCCTTTGATCGATAGCCAGCCGGACGGACATCAGGTCTACGCCAGAGACGATGCGCAAATTAGCAAATTCTACACGAACTCTCTGTATCCATGCTGATACTTCATCAGCGATGCAACTTCCTCAATAAGTATAGTCGTCAACACGCAAATCACCTCGTACTAGACATTCGAAGATTGCTGCTCCTCAAGCAAGGTGTTCAGATGACACTACATTTTATCAGCTTCTTAGCACTACGATGACCTCCAGTTAAACACCTCCCTACATGGCTGACATAAACCAACTGTTAAACACTTAATAGATTGATGTCAGGTTTTGATTTAACCGTCTCTAACTCCATTCTAACCTAATTCTATGTCAACTAAAATTACTTGTTTAGATTAAATCACTAGTATGACGTAATCTGTCACCATGACAGGTAAAAAGTTTAGGTATTTACATGTATGCACGTTATTCTCATTCTCAAAAACAGAACACTGATCAAGTTATCAAACTATTTGTGTTCTTCTAAAATACAGAAATTGTATAAATGTTTCGCGTGAAATAATACATTACAAAACAATGCAACAAAATACATACTAGAGACAATTGTCACACTATAAAGAATCAATATACATACATAATGCAAAGGACTATTCTGTCAAATATAACAGAGTTTAACTATCACACATTGAAGTATCGCTAATTCAATAATCTTAACTAATGCCTAAAATCTTCACCAAGTAAACTGATGTCAAAGATAACACAAAGAATGTCTAAGCAGTATCTTTCTTTCAAATGCATTTAGAAAAGTCAACAAAGTCACATTATCAGAAACATGAATATAAAGATCAATAACTCAAACTCAAGCCTACTACAGATACAGTATAATCAATTCAATAAGATACCAGTGCTGAATTTGTAGTGTTTAGAAAGCGATAAAGAAAGCTTTGCAATGAAAAAGCACCCATCCAAAATTCAAAGTCAACAACACTACAAATATGAAACATCAATCTGAGCTAGAAACATTATCTATCAGTTTCTCTAATAATATTATTATTCTATAAAATCAATTCGAAAGATCAACATACATTACAATTATTATTGTTCCCTTTAATTGCTAGTGGAACATAGGGCTTCAGCCACACGTCTCTATTGTGTTCGGTTCTCCATCAATCAACGTCTTCACCTGGCTCCACGTCTGCACACATGCTTTCATCTCCTCTTCACATCACCTCCTCCATGTCAACCTCGCACAGACGACCAACTCGCCACTTCCCGCTCGGGTTCCACTCGGGAGAGAGAGAGAGCCTGGCGTGTGATGTCACTTGATGATGGTTTGTTTTCTCAGAGAATGTCCACCAATCCACCTCCATTTCTTCTTGCATATTTCTTGCACAATGGGTTCCTGCTGGGTTGGTTCGTTCATTGCCAGAGATCCCTTCCTGTTGTTGATCTTCTCTGGTCAGCCATCTGATCTTGAGTAGTAGTATTGAGCGAAGACAGGTGTGTTGATGAAGGTTTGCAGCTTGTTTGAAGTGCCCTTCGTGCCACAGCGCGCCACCAAGTCTCTGATCCATCCGTATAGTAGCAATGACTTCACATTGGAGTTGAAAATCCGGATCTTATTTTTCATGCTGAGTGTGCTACACACAGTCTTGTAATAAGAATACATAGTCATTAAATCTACAATGGATCTGATCTGTCGTGTTAACATCGGATATGTAGTTCGTTGTTTTATAATTGTATTATTTTTTTCTATCAGCTCCCTATTATATGTCTACCCCTTTGGTTAACGTGACTCTTCTTCAATTATAGTTGAATTCTACTCAATCCTGTCAATTATATAACGTCATTCAAATAATCTCAGTGTGTTTAGGAAAAAAATCAAAACAAGATCTGTTTTCTGAACGTTTAGCTGTGTAAGCTGCCACAGTTTCTTCATCCATCAGAATTATTCGGATTTTATTGACCATCAAAGTATATGGTCAAAAATTACATAAATTGAAGTTAGTTCATTTGAAGGTCATTTGTCGATAGACATTTGTACCAATAGAAAAGATGTAAGCAGTCATCACATCCATTTGTAATGACTAATGTCCCATTGTCATTGTGCATATTTGTCTGTACGAGTGTGTGTGAGTGAGTGTATGTTATTTGTTACATGGAAAGGATGTCAGTTCACATGTGATAAACATGATAGAGGTTTTTGTCATATTCTCATCACTCTTGCTTGCTTCATTAGAGTTTTCCATATAGGTGATAAGTCTATCCCTTCTCTCGACGATAGCCATTCCATATCGAAAGGAGACAACTGAACAACTTCAAAGACTACTTGCTTCATATAATATTAAAGTCTATTTCAAGCCCTCTAATTCCTCCCTACAGAAAGCTTTGGTGAATGTTAAAGATATGGTTCCTAAAATGTAACGAAGTAATTGTGTCTATAGGATAAAGTGTTCAGAATGTGAAGCCTGCTAATATAGGGGGAGGGAAGGCTGCAGTAGCGGGTGAAGACCAGAGTAAATGATGAACACAGACTGTGCACGAAACGTCCACCTAGAAATGAAGTAGAATTAAAAAGTCTAGAAAAAAGATCAGCTATAGCAATGCATGCATGCTGTAGACAGAGGACATAAGATTGGTTTCGACAATGACAAAATTCTAGGAATATGGCTTTCATTCACATAATGAGAGGCTGACCTCGAGAGCCTTGCATATTTTGACCACATCGAATGCAGGAAATAGGAGAGAAGGGATGGACTTATCACCTATATCACAGACTCTAATGAAGTAAAACAAATGAGAAATATATATGTATATATTCAATATTACGTTATGACCGTATTATGAAATATTATCACGTTTTGACTTGTTTTCCACATAACAAATAACATGCACACACACACACACATAGACAAATATGCATATATGACACATTGACATTAGTCATTACAAATAAGTGATGACTGTTGGCATTTTTCTCTTGGTACAAATGTCTGAAGATAAGTGGCCTTTAAAAGAATTCACTTCAATTGAAATAATTTGTTAACTATATATTTTGATGTTAATTGGAGGATGGAGACTAGCAGTGCATTCCAGTATGCGCATTTCGTCCTATTTGGGACTCGTCAGCTAGCTGGATGTACCTGCATTCCGCAGGGAGTGGTAATGTTCCCACCAAGGCTCGAACCCAGTGGCCATAGTTTCAAACGCCAAAGTGTTATCCACTAGACCACTTGAGCCACGAGAGCCACCTCTTTCTGAAACGGTTCATATTAATTATTTAATTCGATTTTAGATTTCCCCATCGATTGATTGGAGTGAAGTGCTCGATCTCAGGTTGGTATGTCGGCTTCTTGATGATTAATAAAATCCGAGTGATTTTGCTCGATGAAGAAACTGTGGTGGTTTACACAACGAAGCGTTCGGAAAACAGATCTTGTTTTGATTATTTTTCTTAAACACACTGAGATTAGTTTAAATAATTTATAATGATTCATTCTGACTCGGCGGTCAAATAATTCCAGGAAATTCAAGTGTTGGTTTGTAGGGATTTGATTGGTTACAGGATTTTCATCATGAGCTGATATTAGTTAGAGATCCATTGGAAAACCAGCTGGGAGTACTGGACAGCTGTTTCGTCCTAGTTTGGGACTCTTCAGCAGTACGCACCCACCGGGATTCGAACCCAGGACCTTCTGGTTACAAGGCGAGCCCGTATACCATTAAGCGCTGTCGTGAATTGGCAGAAGTTAGAATTCATGGGCTATTGGATCGGGTCCCAGTGGCTTAATGGTATATGAGCTCGCCTTGTAAGCAGAAGGTCCTGGGTTCGAATCCCGGTGGGTGCGTACTGCTGAAGAGTCCCAAAACTAGGACGAAACAGCTGTCCAGTACCCCCAGCTGGTTTTCCAATGGATCTCTAACTAATGTCAGCTCATGATGAAAATTCCAGGAAATTTGTAACAACTACGGTGTGGAAACTTATAATTTGTTATTTTTGTAACGGAGTGTTACTGTTTTTTATTGGTTGCTCAGCTGAAAAGTATCCGCCACACTCAGATAAGCACAAAAGTCGGTTTCGACTGTGATACAATAAATTTGTTATGTAAAATACACGATATATATATATATATCATTTCCACATCAACGTAAATTTAAATTATAACTAGATAATCAATATCTGATTGATAACATGACCTTGAAGATCCTCCGAAATAAATCGATCGAAAATTATCTAATCAGGTTGTTATATTATTATGTCAGCGCATGAATCAATCATAACTTCACGGTTAACAAAGATAGTTAGTCCGTCCTAACAGGTGTTGTCTAAAATTTACGACACACACTTTTGGAGATATTCCTTTAGTTACTAAGAAATTTTACTATATACACATGCAATTTTACAGCTTGAGAATGATATTGCTGAAAGGGGAGTAACTCTTCATTGAACATCTTTTTCTTTAATATGACTCAGTACATAATAGACTACCATTTATTTGGTTGGAGGATTTCATCATGAGTTGGAAAACCACCTGGAAGTACTGGAAAGCCAGCTGTCTCGTCAGCCCAGTTTGGGACTCTGCAGAAGAAGAACGCACCCAGCGCCAGAGTCCAAACCCATGACCTTCTGGTTACGAGGAGAGCTAGCTTGTAGACCATTAAGCCACTGGGTCCCGCCTGACACAATGGTCAGTCCATAAACTCTAACTTCTACCAATTCATCACACATAGCGCGACCACTTCGCAATGTCTTCTTCAATGAGTAACTGCCTCACCTTCAACCTGTTGCACCCTACTGGCCACGGCTTCCCACCAAAACCCCGGGTCATTGCCTGAATAGGGCCAGTGGTTCTCTAATTGATAGCAGCTCATGATGAAATCCTCCAACCAATCAAACAAAACAAAACAAAAAAATCCCTATAAAAAACCAATACTTGAAAATTAACATTTATTTAACATTGTGAATTCCTGTCATGTCTCCGTTTCAAGACAGTGAAACACTATATTCCACTTATTTGACCTTACTCGACTAGAGTGTATTTTTATTGAGCGTACCTACAATTAGGCAAGTTCATTCTCGTATTTTCGAACATTATCCTGCATGACTAAGCAAGTAAGGGGCAAACATGGTTTATTCCTAGCCCTGGGTTTATCACATCTATGTAGACAGTGAGTATATGATTGATGTTAATAAAGCATTGAAAGCTATTTATCTGATATTTGACTGTGATATCCTGAGTTCTGTTACAAAACTCAGGCACAGAGGTCCAACACTCCCAGTTGCCACACTTCATGGACCACAAAAAGGAAGGCAGATGAAACGTAGATTCAAAAGAAGAACAACAATAATAAACAGAAATAGGAGGGAGAAAGAATAGTGACATGGAGAAACAATTGGGTCTTTTCTTGGATATTAGGAGATGACAGAGAGTGAATGCATCTACGCCAGCCCATAAGCTTAGCATTTAAAGTTATTTATCGCATTCCAACTAATATTAAATTTTGCTTTATGAGTTCATGTTCTGTATACAACTGAAGCTATCAGAATCCACCTGAAGTAGCTAGACCTGCATGTTCGCAAGAAATTTGTGTAGCCACTTTCTTAACCTCAAGCTGTCGTTACATCAATGTAAAAACAAACCCAGACAAACGTGGAGCCAACTGAAAGTAATGGAGTAAAGAACCAAGTGCGTGCAATGGACACATACTGCTGAAAACCCAAGGTCCACTCGGAACCCAAGAGAATCATAATAATAATAATAATGGCAACAACTAATTTCCATCACCATCACAAGACATTTTGTGTGAACAGTTGAAAGAAATTTAAAAAATACAAAATTTCATGAATAAGAGAGACAGTTGAAAGAAACAATCATCATTATCAAACTATATACCTTTTCTAATGTTTTACTTGTAGTTTGACCAAATCGTTCAGCACGTTGTTTTAGTTTTCCTAATTCATCAACTTCTAAGGAGTCACCACCAATAGAACTGCTGTTAATCGGTAGACCAAATCGTTTAGCACGCTCGATCAGCTTGCTATCACTTAGAATACTTGTCCCATTTGAAGTACTGCCACCGAAGCGTTTAGCGCGAAGAGCAAGACGCTAAAAAAAAATAATAATAATAAAATATACACAGAGACATTAAAGTGGCTGTTCTTCAAAGCATACCATATTAAAGAATTCTTTTTCAGGTTCCGACTGATCCTATTCAGGTAGATAGTTAACTGGGTTCTAGTGAGAAGCCGTGTGACCAGTAGGGTACAGAAGGTCGGATGTGAGCAGATATACTCGCCAGCGATGACTTTAGCTAGTGGTCACCCCATATGATGAATTGGCAGAAGTTGCTATTTGCAATGAATAGTGTTCTCTGAGCTGGTTGGTTTAGTTGCGGAGCTTTCGTCGCCCCCTCCCTGCTGGACAACATCCCCTTTCAGCGCAATCTTTAGCATAAAGTGAAATGATTTAAATTTCTTCATGAGTGATATAATTGTGTCTCCTGGTAACCATCTTTACATATGTATTGACCATTTTCTATTGACTTGGATTTTAAACTTTCTTGTCATGTGATGATTTACTATTTATTAGTTGGTATATTTCGTCTATATTAACGTGTTTGTTAATTGCATGTTCGTTTGAGTACCAGGTTTCTAGGGATTCCCTGACTGCACTTAAGGTGTTTCCTCTGTCTAAGATTTTGACATTATCACAATCAAACTGATGTCCGATTTTAAAAACAACACCAACAACGAAACCATTATCAAAGAACACAAGAAAATTCATCTCACCATACATATGAAATATCTCTGAAATAACAGCTAGAATATTGAGACCATTTGAAATAGATATAGCGCATAAGCCAGCAAGCCAGTCAAATCAATTAATTCGATATTATGCAAACCGAAAGACCCATCCAACAGAAAAACGAGATAAAATTAATACCATTTACAAAATAAATTCTATGAACTGTAGCAGGCATTACATCGGGCAAAGTGGGCGTCCCCTTCAAATAAGAATCCAGGATCACAAATCAGCCGTGAAAAGACACGATATGTATTCTTTCATATCAATGCATGTAGACAAAATTATGGACATCAGTTTGATTACGATTATGTCGAAATCTTAGACAGAGGAAACACCAAAAGTGAAGTCAGGGAATTCCTAGAAGCCTGGTACTCAAACGAAAATGCAATTAACAAACACGTTAATATAGACGAAATATACCAACTAATAAATAGTAAATCATCACATGACAAGAAAGTTTAAAATCCAAGTCAATAGAAAATGGTCAATACATATGTAAAGATGGTTACAAATCTCTATTATTATTTCAGAAGTTGGTATTCATGGACTGACCATTGGATCAGGGTCCCAGCGGCTTAATGGGTTTACGAGCTCGCTAACCTTGCAACCAGAAGGTCCTGGATTCGGACCCCAGTCGGTGTGTGCTTTTGAAGAGTCCCAAACTAGACTGATGAGACAGGTGATTGTCCAGTACTCCAAGCTGGCTGCTTTCCAATGGTCGTCTAACCGATGTCAATTCATGATGAAATCCTCCAACCAACTAATCAATCAAATCACTGCAAAGCAACACTTGAATTATAAATCCATTAATTTTAGCGTACAATAGCCAGCAAGTATAGGCGTATTAGAAAATGTATTATAGAACAGGTATAGAATGGGATGGAATAATAAGAGTCAGTCAGTAATAGTTAGTTTTGATTATCATATGGAATATGCATGGTGAATAAGATACATGAGATAAAATAATTCAACGGAAAGTACAGGTTTCAAGGGTGAGTAATAAGTCAGCAGTGGTGTGACACAGAGACACTATGTGAATACTACTACTGCGTCGGTGGCACAGTCGCGTTATGACACCCGCCAACCATGCGCATGCTCTTGGGTTCGATCCCCGGCCGCCGACGCACTCCTTCACCTCAACTCGCTTAGCCAGAAATAAAAGCTGGGCTGGGCATGAGGCTGGTTAGCAACCCCATCCCGTAAAAATAAAAACACCACTGCTACAGAAACGTCAAGCCTCTAGCCTGAAGCAGCACTATGTTTCAGCACTGAGAACGTGAAGGAATAAAACAAACAACAACAAAAACAGAGAAATAAAACAAACACATGAGATAGACTAGACGCATAAATGAAGTGGTAACAATCAATACGAAAAGACCTCTGGTCTTTTTTTTGTACGCAGAAGAAGTATGTCTAACTGTTTATTTTTACCTTGGCCTACATACAGATAAGGTCAACAAATCCTCCATAAACATTGACACTTTAAATTCTTATCCCAAATTTTTTTTCTTTCTTCTCCTCCTCTTTGGCCTTGGTTTCATGGACAAACGTTCATTTGTGACCTTTTACGACTTCATGACCTTTCTTATTGTTACTATCTCCCTTAGGTTTAAGCAATGCTTTTCAAACTTGTTATTATATTTACAAGAGACAGGACAAACCGTGGCTCACTACGGACACTTGGAGGCTAATAGAAGAGAGAAGGATGGTGAAACAAAAGATTATCCAGTGCACCGACGAGCAACAGAAACAGGAGCTGAATGCAAGCTACAAAACACTGAACAAAGGAGTAAAGAAGAGTGCCAGAGAAGACAAAAGAAAGTATTATGAAGCCATGGCCAATGAAGCAGAACAAGCAGCAGGCAAAGGAGACCTCGCAACACTCTACCGAACAACTAGGTACCTCTTAGGCAAAAATTCGTCACAAATTAAGCCAGTGAAGGATGACAATGGAAAGTCAATCACCAAAGAAGTGGAGCAAAGGAAACAGTGGGCTGAACACTTCAAAAGACTACTAAACCGACCGCCACCTACAACGCGCCCAACAATACCAACAACGGAAGCAGAATTACCAGTGAACATCAACCCTCCGAGGAGAACAGAAGTCCTGAAGGCAATCAAGATGCTGAAAGCTGGAAAAGCAGCAGGACCAGATGGAATCCCAGCAGAGGCATTGAAAGTGGACCCAGAGACAACAGCGGACTTCATGACGCCACTACTGGAGGTGTGGAAAGAAGGCAAAGTACCCGAGGATTGGAAGAAAAGATACTTATTCAAACTACCAAAGAAAGGAGACTTAAGTCAATGCAAGAACTGGCGCGGAATTATACTCCTGTCCATCCCAAGCAAAATACTAAGCCGCATCATCCTGGAAAGGATCAAACAAGCCCTGGATGAAAAAATTCGACCGGAACAAGCTGGATTCAGGAGAAACAAGTCATGTATTGATCAAATCGCCACATTACGGATCATCATTGAACAAAGTTTGGAATGGCAGTCACCTCTCTATCTCAACTTCATCGACTTTGAAAAGGCCTTCGACAGACAAAGTCGATCGAGAGGGGATTTGGCAACTACTTCGCTACTACCGGGGTGTCGCCAAATATTATACATCTCATCCAACAGTTGTATGACAACGCTGCATGCCAAGTAATTCACAACGGGAAGCTCACGGAATCCTTCGAAGTGAAGACAGGAGTAAGACAGGGTTGCCTACTATCGCCAATGATTTTCCTGATTGCAGTAGATTGGATAATGCGACAGACAGCGGGCAATGAGGAAACAGGTATAAAATGGACTCACACAAAGAACTTGGAGGATCTGGACTTCGCCGATGATATATGTCTGATTTCCCACAAACTGGAAGATATGCAAGTGAAAAGTAACAAGTTGGCAGAAGAAGCATCAAAGATAGGACTCCAGGTGAACATAGAGAAAACGGAGGTGATGAAGATTCCTGGCCAACACCAACAGCCACAGCAACAACAACAGACAGCAATCAGCATAATTGGAAGGAACCTGAAAGAAACTACCTCCTTTACCTACTTGGGAAGCATTGTTTCAACTACAGGCGGAACTGACGAGGATATCAAAGCAAGGATCTGGAAAGCAAGGCAAGCTTTCATTACTCTCATGTCTGTGTGGAGGTCAACAGCATTCAGCGTCAAAAATAAGATCGGGATTTTCAACTCCAATGTGAAGTCAGTACTACTATACGGATCAGAGACTTGCACTGCGTGTCATAAAGAGCATCTCAAACAAACTACAGACCTTCATTAACAGATGTCTTCGCTCAATACTCAAGATCAGATGGCCGGCCAGAAAAGATCAGCAATAGAGATCTCTGGGAGCGAACCAACCAGGAACCGATTGTGAAGCAAATAGGCAGGAGGAAATGGAGATGGATTGGCCACACTTTGAGGAAACCAGCAAGTGACATCACTAGACAAGCCCTCGAGTGGAACCTGAAAGGGAAGCGACGAGTTGGTTGTCCAAGGGTGACCTGGAGGAGATCATGTGAAGAAGAATTGAAAGCGTATGGGCAGACTTGGAGCCAGGTGAAAACTCTAGCAGAGAACCGAACGCAATGGAGACGCATGGCTGAAGCCCTATGTTCCTCTAGGAACTAAAGGAAATAATAATAATAATAATTATATTTACAAAATCCTGTTTATTTCACTTCACTAAATTTATTTTTACTTAATAAGCATTCACTAATAGTACTTTTAATGTTTACATCACATCATTGCTGTCATTTATCCCTGTGAACATACGCATTTAGTGTCTCCCATTTGTTGGTTTATTTCTCTGTAATATTCAAACTGTCTCACACACCATAACTGATTACAATCACCCTTGAAACTACTTACTTCCGCTGACTATATATACACACAAATACACATCATTATTTCATCTTACGTTCTTATTGACCATACATCTTTTCAACAATAAATCAGTGGCTATTAACATTCCATTTTGTACTTGTTCCACAATACATGTTTAGATATAATTATAATTGGATGGAGGATTTCCTCATGAGCTGATATCAGTTTGAGAACCACTGGAAAACCTTGGAGTAATGGACAGCTCTTTCGTCCTAGTTTGGGACTCTTCAGCAGGTTGAGGCAGTAACTCATCGAAGAAGACATTGCGAAATGGTCGCGCTATGTCGTGAATTGGTAGAAGTTAGAATTCATGGACTGGCCATTGGATCGGGTCCCAGTGGCTCAATGGTCTACGAGCTTGCCTTGTAACCAGAGGGTCCTGGGTTCGAACCCCGGTGTATGCGTACAGATGAAGAG